ATCGGTGCGATGGTTCTCTTGGGTCTATGGGTCTCTGTGTGAGTCTATGGCTCCCCGAGACAATTTGTATCTATGTGAGTCTATGGGTCTCTATGTGAGTCTATGGGTCTCTGTGTGAATCTATGGCTCCCCGAGACAATTTGTATCTATGTGAGTCTATGGGTCTCTGTGTGAGTCTATGGCTCCCCGAGACAATTTGTATCTATGTGAGTCTATTGGTTTCCATGTGAGTCTATGGGTCTCTCTGTAAGTCTATGGGTCTCTCTGTAAGTCTATGGGTCTCTCTGTAAGTCTATGGGTCTCTGTGTGAGTCTATGGGTCTCTGTGTGAGTCTACGGGTCTCTATGTGAGCCTACGGGGCTCTGTGTGAGTCTACTGGTCTCTGTGTGAGTCTACGGGTCTCTGTGAGTCTACGGTTCTCTGTGTAAATCTGTGTTTTTCTGTGTGAGTCTACGGGTCTCTATATGAGTCTACGGGTCTCTGTGTGAGTCTACGGGTCTCTATGTGAGTCTACGGGTCTCTGTGTGAGTCTATGGCGACCGGGCAGAGACCATCAAATCACTGCACTTGGGAGCCCAGTTTCGCCGCAGTCAGCGGCTGAGATCTGGATTCGAGCCGAGGCTCTCGGTGGTTTTCCGTCCCTCTCGTGGTCACAGCCCCCGCCACGAATTCCCCCACCCACGCACCCCCCACTCAGCTCCTATCTCTGCTTCAGCTGTTGTTGGGTCGGTGACAATTTCGCGTGGGCGGGTTTTTTGTGCGTTCGTGTTGTTGTTTCAACGACTTCGCGTTCGGCTCCCCTTATTTGGGCATCGGGGTTCACGCAAAGCTCCCGAATGACACGAAGCGCGACGCGAACCAACACAAACTCCCCCACACCCCCCACGCATCTCAGCCTCCTCCTCCTCCACTGCCTGCCACGCGACTCGGTTGCATCAACCCGTCGATGTTGCTCGCATTCTACTTACTGCGTTCCATCAACATCATCAAAGAGGATGTGGCGGCGGTGGTGATGAACGTCATGTTGAACTCCTTTCGTACCGTACATGGCCAACCGTGCTATAGCCGGAGGTGCGTAGCTAATTATATAATTGGAGGTGCGATTATCACCACCATCATCATCATGGTGGTGGTGACTAAGTAGTGGGAAGATTCGTTTCCTTGAATGTGATCTGAGAGGAGTTCTGATTCATTATGTTATCTCCACCAGCACCGGTGTAAGATCGATTACATTATCACCATCGTCATCATTGCCGTGGCCTTAGGTGGTGGTGGTGGTGGCAGCGTTGACACTCGCGCCTCACAGCATGAAGGGGCCGCTGGGTTTGATTCACAACTCGGGCACCCTTTGACGGCGGTGTAGGGCTGATGGACCTTCTCCCCGTCCGTTCTCCGAGTTGATTTGATGTTGTTGATGTTGGTCATGTTCATATTCTTGGTTTGAAAAAAAATAGTGGACACAAAAAAAAGTGGACACTTTTTTTTCTTATTGTCTTGCTCTGGATTTCACATCTGATGATGATTGCTTATGTTGCAGTCGAAATGTCGTGAGAATTGTATTGTTTAATATTTATATTATTTTATTATTTCCCTTCTACGTGACTTTACCGAAAGAACCAAGAATATGAATCCCTGCAGTCACGAAAACTTTAAATCAAAAGTTGTTGATGTTGTTGCACGGACGCTGGTCAGACTTCACAGTCTGTACTCGTCATGACAAAGACAAAAGTCCGAAATTGATTTAAAAAAAAGAGAATCAATGCATCGCGAATGAATGTGAACGGAAGAGAGTTTGAGCATTTGTTACGATACATTAAATAACCCTACACGATTTCTATCTATGGGATACCTTTTTTCCAGTATGAAAGTATGAAAAATAGGAATAGATTAAGTTCTCAAGTTGTTCTAACACCACATAGATACCTTTTGCAATGCATCAAGTCTCTATTAATACACCTGTTTTAATGTCAGAGAAGCTCAAACCTATTATTATTGTAGTAATAGGTTGTTTGCATTAACCACAACCGTAAGTGTTGTGGTTAATGCAAACATGATCCCTTGTATAAAGGTGTCATATTCTTAGGTTTTTTCCGGTTAAGTCACGTAAGTAAAACATCAAAATAAAAATAAAATAAAAATAAAAAATCACGACGTTTCGGAGGCAACACAAGTCTCCGTCATCAGGTGGGACCGTCACAGCCGGATTAGCTGCATCAAGTGAGGCAATGATTCAAGATGTAATCCCTTAAAAAGGCAAGTTGAGGGGGAGGAGAGGGGGGGGGGCTCATCAAAATTGGCTACCACATTCTGATGAGCCCCCCCCCTCTCCTCCCCCTCAACTTGCCTTTTTAAGGGATTACATCTTGAATCATTGCCTCACTTGATGCAGCTAATCCGGATGTGACGGTCCCACCTGATGACGGAGACTTGTGTTGCCTCCGAAACGTCGTGATTTTTTATTTTTATTTTGATGTTTTACTTACGTGACTTAACCGGAGGTTGTCACACAACATCTGTGCGTGCGGTGATCCACAAACCCCTGGCTGCTGCTTCTGCGGCAGCAGCGGCAGTGGCAGCCACCACAGCCGCCAGCCGGCTAAGGGGTCACACGCGCCACGCAGTGAAGGGGATCATCGTGGGAGAGAAGAATCGCTGAGTCGTCACCCCTCGCCTCCTCCCTCCCCTCCACCCCCACACGGTCGATGCTCGTCTGAGTTTCTGCGCAGCTGTGCCGAGCTCGTTGACTGCTGCACCTGCGCGGGGCGCTTTTTATTCGTGTTGCTGCTTGCGTTGCGTTTTTGTTTCGGGCCGTCAAAACAGGCGCGCCTGGTCGGTGACGCAATCTTCCTGAAGGACCCCGCTGCACTCTCGGTCTGCAATGTTCATGTCGCTGCTGCTGCTGCTTAAGAAGTGCAACATACACGCGCACATAATGCCCATAGACTACCACTGCCCATAGACTACCACTGCCCATAGACTAACACTGCCCATAGCCTAACACTGCCCATAGACTAACACTGCCCATAGACTAACACTGCCCATAGACTAACACTGCCCATAGACTAACACTACCCATAGACTAACAAGCCCATCGACTAACACTGCCCATATACTAACACTGCCCATAGACTCAACACTGTCCATAGACTAACACTACCCATAGACTCAACACTGTCCATAGACTAACACTGCCCATAGACTAACACTGCCCATAGACTAACACTGCCCATAGACTAACACTACCCATAGACTAACACTGCCGATAGACTAACACTGCCCATAGACTAACACTACCCTTAGACTACCACTGCCCATAGACTACCACTGCCCATAGACTAACACTGCCCATAGACTAACACTGCCCATAGACTACCACTGCCCATAGACTACCACTGCCCATAGACTAACACTGCCCATAGCCTAACACTGCCCATAGACTAACACTGCCCATAGACTAACACTGCCCATAGACTAACACTGCCCATAGACTAACACTACCCATAGACTAACAAGCCCATCGACTAACACTGCCCATATACTAACACTGCCCATAGACTCAACACTGTCCATAGACTAACACTACCCATAGACTCAACACTGTCCATAGACTAACACTGCCCATAGACTAACACTGCCCATAGACTAACACTGCCCATAGACTAACACTACCCATAGACTAACACTGCCGATAGACTAACACTGCCCATAGACTAACACTACCCTTAGACTAACCCTGACCATAGACTCAACACTGCCCATAGACTCAACACTGCCCATAGACTCAACACTGCCCATAGACTAACACTGCCCATAGACTCAACACTGCCCATAGACTCAACACTCCCCATAGACTCAACACTGCCCATAGACTCAACACCACGGATCTCCTGTGTAGAATAGCCGTGATTGTGGCTACGCGGGACCAACATCACCCGTGTGTAGAACAAATAAAAAAAACTCAAACTTATATTTAACACAAAATATAGATTTTATTTTGAGGCCGAGGTTGGGTTCGAACCTGCGAACTCGGGGCTCGGATTAACACGGCAATGAATAAATAAATAAATAACCGCACGCGCCCTTCCAGAAACTCCCTGGGCGGTCAGCCGCAGCGTTGGTGGCCACGTGGCTCGTGATGGTCGAGACGGAAAAGTATTTCCCCGTTAACGCATTTCCGAAATGTTACTCGGCGATTCTGACCAACGCATAATTCCGCACTCTTCGAATTTACGGGGGAAAAAAATCCAATCCCAGTCTTTTTTTTGTTTCCGACAACCAAAACATGTTTTTTGGGCAGTGTTCATTTTTATACTCTTTGGTTCTTTCGGTAAAGTCGCGTGGGTATATAATAAAATAAATCACGACGTTTCGATCGCAACGCCAGCTGAATCAGCTGTTCCACTGCTGGATTACAGTTTTTCCACCTGAGGATGACCGCTTGTGTTGCGATCGAAACGTCGTGATTTATTTTATTATATACCCACGCGACTTTACCGAAATAACCAAAGAGTATGGATCCCTGCAGTCACGAAAGCCTCAAATCAAGTGTTCGTTTGTGTTTGTTGTTGTTGTAGTTCAGGCAGGGCGTGGGAGGCGACTGCCTGAGTTGTACCCAAGGCCGTGCGTGTTGACACTGCCACGCAGGGCGTCTCGGTGGATGTTCACGGTGGCCTCCACCGCGATGCCAGTTCACCACGTGGACACCGGGCATCCAGGTGGGCATCAGATGTCCAGGTGGGTCCAGGTGGGGTGGGGGGAGTGGGAGGGTTGGGGGGGTGGGGGGGCGGTGGAGGGTTGGGCGGTTGGGGGGTGAAGGTGGCGGGGCGGTTGGGGGGGGGGTTGGGGTGGAGGGGGTTGGGGGGGTGGTGGGGTGGGGGGCGTTGGGGGGGTGGGGGGTTGGGGTTGGGGTGGAGGGGGTTGGGGGGGTGGTGGGGTGGGGGGCGTTGGGGGGTTGGGGTGGTGGGGTGGGGGTGGGGGGCGTTGGGGGGGTGGGGGGTTGGGGTTGGGGTGGAGGGGGTTGGGGGGGTGCTGAGCAGCGGCGCCCCAGCGGCTCGGGTGGAGGGCGACCTCCCAACCTTCGACGGCAAACGCCACGGGAGGAGGAGGTGGAGGAGGAGGAAGACGAAGGAGGAGGAGGTGGTGGAAGACGAAGGAGGAGGAGGCGGCGGGTCAGAGCAAGAACGCCCCGAAGAAGTTCCACTCCCTCTTGTCCTCCACGAGGTCGGCGTGGGTCACGTGCACGGCCACCGAGCTGCCCGCCTGCAGGTGGAGCACCCCGCCCAGGTGGCTGCTCTGGAACCACGTGGGCCGGGCGCTGCCGGCCGACGCGCAGGGCGACCACGTGGTGCTCATGACCGTGGCGGCACCGCCGCTGCTGCTGCTGTCGACGGTGGTGGCGGTGGTGGCGGTGGTGGCGGTGGTGGTGTCGGTGGTGGTGGCGGTGGTGGCGGTGGTGGCCGTGGTGGTGTCGGTTGTGGAAGTCACGCGGATAGAGTGGACGACCTCTACGTGCGCCGACTCCCTCACTCGTTCGCACGCCACGTGGTACAGCTGAATCTGTGGGGGGATGCGGTGGTTGATCAATGGGGGAAGTGATGACGACGATAGTCATACTACTAATAGAGAGGGGGCGACTCAGAGAGAGAGAGGACGACTCAGAGAGAGAGAGAGAGAGGACGACTCAGTGGAGGCGTCAGGGGGAGGAACCACAGACGAGGAGCGGGAAGGCAGCAGCAGGAGCCAGCGCTACCAACGATCGCCCTCTAAGCTCTGCCGTCCTCTACGTATGACGGTGTTCGTCGGCCCAGCGCATTGCGTGTTTAGCCGTGTGCGAGGGAGCAACACTCGATCCCACACAGAGAGAGCAGGTGGAGATGACGCTTCTGCTGCGCCGCCTTCTCCCGGCGAGCCGGGCACGGCTACTCAGCGGCGGCCCCCCAGGGAGAGTCACGACAATCCAGCGGCAATCCACCAACCCCTCGTATCACCAGCGCTGGGTTACAGGCCAACAGCAGAGCCACCACCACCACCAGGCTGATGATGACGATGATGGTGATGTTGATGGTGATGATGATGATTATAATGGTGATGTTGATGACGATGGTGATGATGATGACGATGTGTGTACGCGTGCGCACGTTGAACCTCTCGCGGGCACCGTACGATAGCCAACCCGTTGGTGGGGTGGCGCGGAACGTCGGCCCACCTGCGAGAAGACGAAGTAGCTGCCCGCGCGCGGCACCGTGAGGCTGCCGTTGTGGTAGCGCATGCCGCCTCGCAGGCTCGCAGCGACACCGCCGCCAGCGCCGCCGTCGCTCCAGGCCAGGCGGGAGAGCTGCCGTGCGGCCACGTCCACGTCTAGCGGAGAGTGAGAGAGTGAGTGAGTGAGTGAGAGAGTGAGAGAGTGAGTGAGTGGGTGAGAGAGTGAGTGAGAGAGTGAGTGAGAGTGGGTGAGAGAGTGAGAGAGTGAGTGGGTGAGAGAGTGAGTGAGAGAGTGAGAGAGTGAGTGAGTGAGAGAGTGGGTGAGAGAGTGAGTGAGAGAGTGAGAGAGTGAGTGAGTGAGAGAGTGGGTGAGAGAGTGGGTGAGAGAGGGAGTGAGTGAGTGCGTGAGAGAGTGTGTGAGTGAGTGAGAGAGAGAGAGAGTGAGTGAGTGAGAGATGAGTGAGAGAGTGAGAGAGTGAGTGAGTGAGAGAGTGGGTGAGAGAGTGAGTGAGAGAGTGAGAGAGTGAGTGAGTGAGAGAGTGGGTGAGAGAGTGAGTGCATGAGAGAGTGTGTGAGTGAGTGAGAGAGAGAGAGAGTGAGTGAGTGAGAGATGAGTGAGAGAGTGAGTGAGAGAGTGAGAGAGGGAGTGGGGGAGAGAGGGAGTGAGAGGGGGAGAGAGGGAGTGAGTGAGAGAGGGGGTGAGAGAGTGAGGGACAGAGTGAGTGAGAGAGGGAGTGAGTGAGTGCGTGAGAGAGTGAGAGCGGTGAGTGAGCTTACAGGTGTCACGTGGTGAGTGAGCTTACAGGTGTCACGTGGTGTGTGAGCTTACAGGTGTCACGTGGTGTGTGAGCTTACGGGTGAGATGAGCGGAGGGCCTTTCAGTGTCCCCGTCTCGGGCCCAGGTCGGTGTGGTGCTTGCGAGCCGCTCGCCTGAAGGGAGCAGCAGCACAGGTCGAGGCATCGTTAACGACGTGGCGGCTATCAAACAATAATAACGATAACGATAAAATAACTCCTCTCATCACGATCAGCACGTTGTGACGTATGTACGCTGCGGTGGCTAGGAGATGTTAACTCCCTCGCCTGGTGTACAGGAGGTCGTGGGTTCGATCCCGACCCTGACGCCTGCTGCTGTATATTTGGAGTTTGTGTCTCTCTCTAACCATCATCATCACGGTGGCTAGGAGATGTTAACTACCTCGCCTGGTGTACAGGAGGTCGTGGGTTCGATCCCGACCCTGACGCCTGCTGCTGTATATTTGGAGTTTGCGTGTCTCTCTCTCTCCCCGTGGTAGCGATGATTTTTCCCCGGGCTCCCCGGGTTTTTCCTCCACATTTGGCATCAACATCACGGGCTGAGAGTAATCGGCTGCTGCTATAAATGTCCACGCGATGTTGATGATGATGATGAGCCACTTCGTCGACCTATCATTCGTGATAGCGAGGTCGCTTCTGAAAAATAGTTATATAGTTCAGTGGCGACTTAACCTGTTAACACAACAAAAGTGTTTGAGTTAATTTTGCCGATTTTTATCTTAACATTACATTTAGTAAACCCCCCTCAACGCCCCCCCCACCCCATCCAACTTCCTCCCAAGGGATGAAAGTCGAGGTCCGGGGATGAAAATCGATCGCGGCGAGGGAAATCCCACCCAACGCCTCAGCACATCAGGGCCCTACAGCTTTGATTGGTGATGTGTCATCATCATCATCATTGTAATTCCGTGAGCTATTTAAAAAGAAAAGTCCCCAATGTACTCATTTATTAAGTCTTCATCTTCAGCGGGCAGCGTTGATTGATGAGTCATTGCAAGAGTTTAGCAGCAGCACGTAATGATCCACGCCCCCCTTCTGCCCGCCGCCACAATGCCTGTAACCCCTTAGGGCCCCTCCATCAATCTCAGACCCGCAATGTTTATTTATTTCTACTAAGAACGTCACAACAACAAAGAGTTTTAAAAAGAAACGATAGTAAGTGCAGAGTACAAGAAAGATAACCAAATAACACGAACAAACACAACACTGAAACCATCCATCATCCTACCAGGCAAAGCCCGCCGAGGTATGAAATTATTTTTCACAAGCGACCTGGCCACAAATGATAGCCGCTCAACAAAGTGGGCCCACAATTTGAACATTTATAGCAGCAAAACCATCTGAATCTAACACGTGGCGGGCTTTCGCGACCAATACCATCCATAGTAGATGTTTTTTGGGGGGTTAGATCGCGTAAATAAATAAATAAATGTGTCGTCAAACCCGCCACCACCCGACACAGCCAACTAGTAAGGGTTGTCACGTAAACAGAACGTGGCCAATACATCACTAGTACAGCACTAGTGTATAGTGTAGTGTATAGTGTAGTGTATAGTAGTGTAGTGTATAGTGTAGTGTATAGTGTAGTGTATAGTGCAGTGTATAGTGTAGTAGTGTATAGTGTAGGGTAGAGTAGTGTAGTGTATAGTGTAGTATACTCGTACATCACACCGGTTGTGTGTGGGAGAGCCAAGCCACAACATTTACAATCTGAGCACGACGTTCAATCTCAATCCACTGCTGGATGAAGGCCTCCCCCCCCCCCCCCCACCATACTTCGCAGGAGGATGGGGGAAGGGGGGGGGGTGTTTGACCATACTTCACCACGCTGGTGATCCCTCGCCAGGGATCTCAGCTCGCACCATCGTCAATTCTCGCGCTCACCTTCCTGTCCCACGCGAAGCTTCAGTCTCTCGGTCTTCACCAGCTTGCCCAGAGCGGTCTGCGCGTGGATCAAAGAGGGGACGCGGTTAAAGTCCCTGCTGGTGAAACACACGCGCGTCGAAACCGGTCCAAGAAATTCGTTTTTAGTTGTTGTTGCTGCTGTTGTTGTTGTAGTTGTTGTTGTTTGCTCGTCTTTGCAATGTGACGACGGCGCTCAGAAGAGCGGTCGGCTCGCCGCAGGAGGCCGCGCGCCCGACGGGCTCTCGTGGGAACACTTTTGCATTTGACGAATCTGTGCGAAGAGGACGCAGTGTTCGGTCTCGCACAGCCACCTCCTGCCCAGTCGCCCCCCAACCCCGAGCCAGCCCCGCTGACCCTTGCCTCGGCGGTCAGCGTGAGGTCAACCTCGCCCCGCGTCAGTTTCTCGAATCGGCGCCGTTCAGATGTCAGTCTCTCACCCCCCCCACCACCCCCACCGCCCCCACCACCACCACCCCCACCACCACCACCCCCACCACCACCACCCTCACCACCACCCCGACCACCACCACCACTACCCCTACCCCCACCACCACCCCCACCACCTCCATCACACAACCACCGCCATCCCCATCCCCCCACCCCCAATCTCCGCGTGCGTCTTCCTCGTCTCTCGGTTCAATTGTCAACTCGCGATTTTCCGTGCTTATTTTGGGGATCGTTATTTTAAGGGGGGGGTGGCTGGTGGCTCTTTCCATGAATTTAGAAAGCCCCTTTTATTTACGCCGATGAAGGCTTCACTCTGAGCCTCGAAACAAAATTTGCAACGTCGAATGAAATCCACAAATCCGCGCTTGTGCGCGCGCGTTGCGTGCGGTTCCAGGTGAAGCTCCCTTACCTCGTGCAGCTTCTCCACCCCGGCCTTCACCTCCACCCAGGCGAGCACCGCGACCCCCACGGCGCAGAGCCACGCGCCGGCCAGCAGCACGGGCAGCAGCCACGTGGCGGGCGTGCACGGCGCCCCGCCTCCACAGCGCATGGCGCGCGATGTGCGGCCAATGCCACCTGCTGACTCCTCTAACACCTGAACTGCCTCTGATATCTGCACTGGCCAGATAGAACGCCTCTCGACTCTGAGCACGCGTTACAGCTCGCACAACTCGCGCGCCGCCGGCCTCAAACTCCACCAGCAGCAGCAGCAGCTACTGTGGGGCCGCACGCGTGTGCGGGCACTGCCACACTCCCTAAGCCACCCACCCGGTCAGGCCACCTAATCACTCCGTCACGGATAATGTGGGGCACGAATGTGTCTGAAGCCGTCCGCGTGACAAGCCGTCAACTCTCGTTTAATCGATCGCGCTACAAAACGCAGAGAAGACCCCCCTCGTGGGATTAGCTGCTGCTGCTGCTGGTGAACCAACAGCGACTGGTGTCTGCCAGAGAGGAGTGACAGCCTTGCCTGGAGGTGGCTACGTGGGGAATTTAAAGCCGCGGCTGTAGCGGCCGAGCGTGAATTCCCCGTGTCATGAAACCAACCCGCTCGCACTAAACTTCACTTCTCCGTTCGCCGAGCGCGATAGGGGCTGGATGCCTCCACCCCCTCCCTCCCTCCCTCTCCTGTTCGTCGGCTTGTCACGGGGATACGGGTGGTTCAGAGTGCACGTCGGAGCCTCGTGATTGATTCGATAACGACAACTCTGGCGGTGCGGCATTTTCTTTTTGATCGTCGCTCTGGGTACGAGGGTTGCGGGAAATCCCGTGATGGTATGGAGCTGAAATTCCGCCCGTTCGCCGTTGACAATTCTGTGGTTACGGATTTTTTATTTCGCGTCTATTTTCCATGATCTCAGCCACGGAGTTGGGGCTTCTGAAACTTTGTGCCCATACCTTTGACCCCCCTTTCCCCCCCACCCACCCACACCCACCGACTCCTCACGCAACCCACCCCTATATACCCACCCCCTATACACCCACCCCCCCTATACACCCACCCCCTATACACCCACCCCCTATACACCCACCCCCTATACACCCACCCCCTATACACCCACCCCCCCTATACACCCACCCCCTATACACCCACCCCCTATACACCCACCCACCCCCTATACACCCACCCACACAACGCACCCACCCACACCGACTTGTCACAAAGTGTGAACAACAAAAGGCTGCGCCAGGCCCGCGGCACGAACACCCCACTCAGCAGCGCATGCAAGTTCTGGTTTCACTTTCAGAGTCGGATTCGATCACACGGTGCGTGAGAGAACGCGTGTATTCATTACACGCCATGTATATGTGTGTGTGTAGCGGTGGGGAGCGGTGGTGTAGCGGTCAGCGCGCTGCGCTACGAACCCGATTCCCGCTCACGGCCAACACCGGTGGCGATTATCTGAACCGGTCCTGGGTCTCCCTCTCCGTCCACTCAGCCTCAAATGAGTACCTGGTGCGGTGTGTAAACATCGACACTGGGGAGATCAAGGCGGTCGGGCGTGGTGCTGGCCACCCACCCCCTCGTGTACCGTTCTGGCCTTCATAAGTGCTCGCTAACAGCACTTGCCCCTACAGTCTTTTGAGGCTATACAGGGGATCTTTGTCTTTGCCTGTGTAGTGGTGGGGAGCGGTAGTGTAGCGGTTACCGCGCTGCGCTACGAACCCGGTGACACGGGTTCGATTCCCGCTCACGGCCAACACCCAGTGGCGATTATCTGAACCGGTCCTGGGCCCTCCCCTAGGTCGACTCAGCCTCAAATGAGTAGCTGGTGTGGTGTAGTAAACATCGCCACTGGGGATACAAAGGCGGCCGGGCGCGGTGTTGGCCAATCACCCCCTCGTGTGCCGTGCCGTGCCGGCCTTCATTGGTGCTGCTTCACGCGATCTGCACTTGCCCCAACAGTCCGTTACAGGCTATACGGGGGATCTTTGTCTTTGGCTATATGTGTGCCCCGTGACCGGCTTGTCAGCGAGTAGTCCAAATCTAACACAAAGACAAAGTTCCCCCGTATAGCCTTAGCAGACTGTAAGAGCATTAATACATCTTACACACACACACCAGATTATATTATTAGACGCACCACCAAATTCTTAAAATGTCCTTTTAATAAACAAAACTCATCACGTGCGTCGACAACGCCGCGGCCTTCAAAGGACAAATATATTGCAGGCGACGTTTCGGGCACGGTCCCTGCTTCATGGCACACGTACAATTATTATACGGCACGGGCAACCTTGCAAGTAAATCCAAATCATCGCGCGTGTGACGACTTTCAGCGGCATCATTATCGTGATCACGGCCCGTGGTCAATCCACTGCTGGATGAAGGCGCCCGCCGCCTCTCACGATCGTGCGATGTCGGGGTTGTTCCTAAGACAATGGCCGTGTTCCTAAGACAATGGATTTGTTCCTAAGACAATGGATTTGTTCCTAAGACAATGGATTTGCTCCTAAGACAATGGATTTGTTCCTAAGACAATGGATTTGTTCCTAAGACAATGGATTTGCTCCTAAGACAATGGCCGTGTTCCTAAGACAATGGATTTGTTCCTAAGACTCGTTGTAGAACAAAAATAGATATGTACCATACAGTATTAGTTGCGACTTTGAACTCTGACCTCGGTTTCACGATTCGCGTGACAGATATAATAAAACAACGAGGACGGCGATAAGGGCGGCGAATAACACCTCGCGGAAAGGCAAAGTGTGCCTATACCCCCCCCCCCCCCTCCAGTGCCGGGTCATCCTCGTAGCACAAGTAGCTACTACAAGTAGCTACTACATATGTAGTAGCTACTTGTGTAGATACTTATGTAGTAGCTACTTGATATGAAGTAGCTACTACACATGTAGTACTACACATGTAGTAGCTACTACACATGTAGTAACTGCTACACATGTAGTACTAGCTACTACTACACATGTAGTAGCTACATGTGTAGTAGTAGTAGCTACTACACATGTAGTCCGTCATCAGGTGGGACTACCACAGCGAGAAACAATTGGCCACTTCAGCAATTGTTTCTTGCTGTGGTTGTCCCACCTGATGATGGACGATTGTGTTGCGCCCGAAACGTCGTGATTTAATTTAATATTTTATACCTACGTGACTTTACCGAAACAACCAAAGAGTACTATACCGCCTTCCAGTTTTACGAACGACCGGGTGTTTAAGGTTAGATATTTGTTGTATTATCTGTCTGTATAGCAAATGAAAACATACAATTAGTTTGCTGTGCAAAATCTTGACTTAAAGCTTTCGTGACTGCAGGAATGCATACTCTTTGCGTATTGCGGTAAAGTCACGGAGATAAAAAAAATAATAAAACATCACGACGTTTCGATCGCAACACGAGCAATCGTCTTCAGGTGAAAAAATACAGCAGGCGGACTGCTGAGGCAGGAATAAATTTCGCGAGAGAGCTACTTGAGCCAGATGTTATAAAGGTTTGAGATGGGTACAACCCAAGGGTAAGTGGGCGGGGCTCGAGATGGAATTTGTAAGTAAATGTAAGAACGCAGAGATAGCTATACCTCGGCCATTGTGTTGCTAGAGATTAGCGTGTCAATCTGTCAATGTAACCCCACGGCTACGGAGCTGAAGAAGCCATTGCATTGCTCGAGATGAGAGATTATCGTGTCGATGTGAGACGTCTCCCGCAGCAGCGGCCGTGTTGATGAGAGACATTCAGCCTATTAAACAACGAGCGCCACCGCCACATCGAGGAAAAGGGAAGCAGCGGCTATGTAAGTGAGACATTTAGCCTGTTAATGTGAAGACATTTAACAATGTAACTCAGAGATTCGGAAATAACTGGTAACATCGGCAGGTAGGATGGAAGCATCACAGTCAGTTAAGACTTTACCTCGTTAATAACGTCCTTCCAATGATTTCTCAGTTTGTACCCATGCTCTCGGTTGAAGTTGTGTCTGTGTTTATATATCTGGATGGCTTCATGAACAAATCTTTGTTGATAGCCAGTGGGTTTGCAAAGTACGTGTGTATTGGAGAAATACATTTCATGTGAGCCCACAGCGTTAAAACAATGATCAACCACGGCCGAGGTATTGGTCCTACCGTGTTTCAGATCCGTCTGAGACATGTCGCTTAGTTTCCCCGATGTAACTTCTGCCGCATGCACAGCTTAGTTTGTAGACACCAGGGTATTGCATGTCAGGCATCACATCCTTCACAAATGGGATCAGATCACGAATTGCATGTACTGTGCTGAATCGGACCTGGATCTTGTGTTTGCTCATGATTTCAGAAATATTTTTGGTGACCCCTGCGATGTATGGCAAGGTGATGGTTTTGATTGGGGTCCTCAGGTGGTTCTCTCCCAACGGTTGGGGTGACAGCTTTACGGATTGTGCAATCCGAATATCCATTCATCTTGAGGGCTTGTTGCACGTCCTCCAGTTCACTGGCTGGGTGGTGATCGTCGGAAATCAAGGCTGTAATGATAATACATATTGGGGGGGACACAATATTGGGGGGGGGGGACACATCCCCCTCCCAATATTAAAATATGCTCAAAATGTCCCCCCCCCCCAGTATATTGCTATAAAATAGATTTCTGTTTATATGATTGTGGTTATAGTTGTACTTTATTCATCTCTAAACTCTGCCATTACACACAATGAAACAAGAAAAGGTAAAAAGAAAAAAACAGAGCAATGTAATACAATACACTCTTAGACATTATTGCAAATAAAAAAAAGTCCATCCTACGTGTTAGTGCATTTTTTTTATTTTTGGCAGGAAATTCGTTTTCAAATGTAGATTTGGTGGTGGGAGTCAGGTTGTAGATCGGCATCCGTGTGGGTGGCTTTCCTGTAGACCGAGTGTCCCAATGAGCTGGGCTGTAAATGAACGCGCCGCGTGGGACGCGAGCAGTGAGGGCTGAGCGGTGACATCATCTCTGAGCTGTCAATTGAAGCTTGCTAATCCAAAGCAATCATCATGGAACCTGCAATAAGAATTTTTTTTTCTGTTTGTTGATTAAAAATCAGATTAAAGAACCGGCCGCGGCCAACAGTTTTTGATCGGCTAACAGCACTTGCCCAACAGACCGTAAAGGCTACACAGGTCGGCCTGGGGAAGCTTTGTCTTTGTTGATGTGCGTTGCCTGCGGGTTCGTGCGTCTGGGCGAGTGACACAATTGGTGCGGTGATGCTGTCCCTGGTAGTGGTGCACAAGCACAGTCAACAATGATTATGATGTGTTATTATTACGTATTATAATACAACTCAACATATCCCGTGTCAATCATCACAGCGCGTCTGCGTCTCTGTGTGTGTGGGGGAGCGGTGGTGTAGCTGTTAGCGCTGCGCTACGAACCTGGCGACCCGAGTTCGATTCCCGTTCACGGTCAACGCCAGTGACGATTATTTGAATCGGTCCCGGGGCTCCCCTAGCTCCACTCAGCCTCAAATGAGTACCTTGTGCCGTGCGTAAACATCGCTACTAGGGAGACAAAGGCGGCCGGGCGTGGTGCTGGCCACTCACCCCGTCGTGTGC